ATTTCTAATGAACCTTAAAACAATGTGTAATAAATAACATAGAAAAACTGTCTGCAAGAAATTTAACCAAATGCTGCTGCGCTCAGTGCCACACTGAAGCCACACCAGCTTTCTCTGCTGGCCTTAAGGTGGGCTTGTTTACTCTGTCTATTTAAAAGTTAATTTTCTGTGTAACGTGAATAAAACAGTAACTCAGCTGAACTACACGCTCAGCATCAGCTGTTCAGGCTTCCGTGTGGAGTCACACTGCTTATTATTCAGTCTGACTAGCTCATATTGCCAACTACGAGTGTAATGAAAATGAAATGACTTGCAAATGGAGGAAAACAAGTGTTTTGGAAACCACACAGATTTAACACACAGATGAATGCAGAGCTGACATTTATTTGTAGCTTTCAAGATGGGTAAAAACAATCTCCTCTGTCATTGCATGGTGTACATTTTAAGTCACACAGGCACTTTCTCTTGACCAAAATATAAACATACACACTAAAAAATGACTAGCAACGGTTGCTAAGCCATGACTGGAGGGCTGATGACTGGGCGGGTGTTGAGATGGTCTGATTGGCTCAGTGCTGGATGTTGGCAGGCTAGTCACGCAGCTTTCTTGTAGTACAACACACGACTTGCGTCATATACTGGACACTGTACAGAATACTACTGATGAAGAGTGCATGCAGTATACAATTTATACTGATACAGTATCCAGTATACAGTACACAGTATGCCATTTCAAACATTGAAAAAAAAACGGTATCTTGTCAAGTAAAGTTATCCTAAATATAGTTGATACATCTAATATTTCTCCTGTTGAGATTATTGTAAGCATAATTTAAGATTAGGTACCTTATTTCTAGACATTGTTTACTTGTTTTAGGTCATTTTATTAAGTGAAATTATCTCACTGTATTGGCAGATAATTTTCCATGTTTGAAGAAATGTGCTTGAAACTAGCAAAATTATCTGTCAGTATAGTGAAAATTTTTACTTAATAAAATTACCTAAAATAAGTAAATGTCTAGAAGTAAACTAGATAATCTGATAATAGGTGCACAACCATCTCAAAATGGGAAATACCAGATATTTTGACTAGATTTAAGATCATTTCACTTGACAAGATACTATTCTCTTCAGGAGAATGCCCTGAATGGGTAAACCTTCCTGCAACTTCCTGCAAAATGACAAACTGTTGTTCACTGCTCCCTGTGTAGTTTGAAGTTCCCTTCTACCTGAACATTGTCACTCGTATTGTTTGGAATCACACATAAAATGTTTTTTTAAAAACAATACTAGGTTTATTAGGACCTGCTTTTCATCAAGGTTGGAGCTAGCCAACAGCTCCCAAAACAAAAAACACATTTACTCTGTCAGTTAAATTTGCTTGTATTTTAGGGAAGGAAAGTGACTGGCTTTACTGAAATGAAAAAGCAGCTCAGTTCTCAAAGCACCACTGCTTTGACTCTAACAGGCTGGACTAAAATGATACACTTAAGCTGTTCTCACACCTAGTTCATTTGGTAAAGTCTAAACATAGTTTGGGTTTTTGTGACATTATATCTATTTCATTTAGTTTGGTTGGTTTTACATTGCAGTGATTGAAGTGCTCCAAAGTATACACTCAGAGATTCAGAGATTTTGCTGGGATACAAGTGTTCTGTTACTCTGCCAAAAAAATCCTACTTTGCATGAAAATAGAGATATGCTTCCATATTGATTGGTTTGTCAGTTTGAATGTAACAAGTCAGGTCACTTGTCATTCATCCAAAAGTGTCAAAAGTAAAGGCATTGCTCTTCTATTATTTTATAACTTGTATGCCATTATTAGCATTATTATTGTCATTATCATGCTGTAAGAACAGTATGGTTGTCTGTAAAGTCAGATGCTATAACAGGCAGATTTTGTGGATAGTACAGTGCTGATGTGCTGCTACAGCAAGAGGAAAGCATCTGATATCAAATTCCTTTGTTTGGTGTAGACCATCATTAAAGTGTGTTCCCACCAGCAGCAAACTGAACCAGACTTCACTTGGAATCGAACCACGCTTTATCTATTTAATGCTCACCCCGGTAAGGGTGGAGTGTTCAGACCAGTCAAAACAGAACTAAGAAAAAGTTCAATAGGCCCACAGCAAAGAAGGTAGAAGTAAAAGCACCTTCAGATATCCTGATTTAGTTTGTGTACCGCACTTTGCATCTCAGTCAGAACACTGAACAATTTTAGCAAACGTAAATTGGTAGTAGCCTTTCTTACTTTATTAAATTTACATTTAAGACAAATGCTTACAAAATGCTCAATAAGTTATTTTAATGTTTTAAGTATTTGAAGAGGTAGCTATTATAGTCCACAGTAGGTCATCAGGATTCTATAGCTACAGTAAAATACCTGTGTGTGTGTGTGTGTGTGTGCAGGTATGAGAGGTGCAGATAAAAAAAAGAGAAAAAGGTTATGAGACCTTTCAGGGGAAAAAAGGAGATAATTGAGGACTTAGATTAATGGCGTGTCATAACAACTTGTGCCATATCACCATTGACCTTTCCCGTAACACACTGAGTTGATGAATGCACTTCATTACCAGATTTGAAAAGTGTAAAATGGAATTCCTTCTTGTCTCCCTGCCAGATTCATCAATGATTGATCAGTAGGGGAAGGAAAAAACAGACTGATGTGTTGAGATGACCCCAGTCCCAATGTCATGCTAACAGAGGACAAAAATGCATAGACACTGTATGAAGCTGCATCAGAGAAGCCAATGATTGAGCAATTATGGAAATGGAGAGACACTGTATTTTAATGTGCAGTTGTATACAAAAGTTTGAACACCCCTGGTCACATTACATGTTTTATTGATTTTCTATATAAAAATAATTACACATCCTCTTCAGGAAACTGACTTTATGTTTTTTAGTGCACAGTTTCTATTTATTCACTGAGTTTAACATATGGAAAAAATTAGCACATAAAATTTGCCATAACGTTTGCACAGACCACATTTTATTTTTTGTTTTTTTTTATGTTAAATGCAACAAATACTAATACTGTGATACTGTGTTTTACTTGGAAGAGCATGACGAAATGAAAGCAAAATGCAGAGGAACCAGAGGAAAAATTATTCCCTTGAGAATACAGTACTGTGCACAAGTCAGAGATCACACTTTCATTTATTTATAAGTGTATTAACTTACAAAATTTTCCGCAAAAAAATAACTAATTATACAGAAGAATACACAAAAGCCTCAATAAATAAATGTAAATTCAGATTTCTTAGTATTTAGTGTGCCCACACTTTACCTTTATTACAGTCTAAATTCTTTCAAAGGAATCTACAGGGATATTTTTCTACACCTGCAAAGTTCAGTCTCTGAGGTTGTTTGCATTTCTTGCTTCATACTGTCCCTGTATTTCCAATTAATATGTAGACTCTTCAGTCCATAAACCTCACCGTTTCAGTGTTCTAGTGCTGTTCTTCTTTTTTGTCTACTTTTTTTCTCAGTAAGGGCTTCTTGATAGCTACACATCTTTTCTGACCCACAGCCCTGAGTTCTCTTCTTACAGTGGAAGGAAGTGGATCAAAAACACTTGTGTAGTGTTTTCCCTTCCCAGATCTGAAGCAAGAGCTTGATTTTTACTCCTCTCAAAGATGAAAGCTTTAAAACGTGTTTATCTGAAGGTGACTGTTTAGGTGGTCTACCAGGTGTTGCACAGTTGTTAGGAGTCTATGGTTTTAATATTTTTTTTATTCCAGTTTTGGAAACTGTTTCTTCACTTATTTTCGTTTCACTTTTCCCTAGTCGATTATTTAATATCTAATCTATGCAGAAATATCTCTCTTAGATTTTGTTTTAGATGCACATGAGAAAGACATTTGCAAGGCAAGTATGGTGTGTCTGGGTAGTTGCTTGTGTAAATGATCTGCTCAAGGAAGTGTATTGTGAAGCAATTTACCACAGACATTTATTACCCACCCCTAATTTATAGTATGACACTATGATTGTCCACAAAATGTAATGTTTGTGTATTATTCTAAAATCTTGCTCTTAATTAGAAAAATACTTGTAAGGCCAGCCATTTCAAGCTTAATTACTCTTGCTGTTCCTTTCAGAAAGTGGTTATTTTTCTAAAATGTACCTCAAGGCCTCAAGGTTTAAATGCACACATCATCATCTCACTATTGGCAGAGTAGTTCTGAAAGCAATTGTAATAGATGGCGATTATCAGAATAATGAGAAGTGACATGTGCCAAACTGCAAGCTGTCAGTTTGAGGTTGTGTGGACCAGGACTTGAATGCATCATTGTCCTTTTTTGTATTCGTCTGCCATAGTTATGATTGCAGCTTGGGCTTCTCAGCAGGGGGGAGTGTGGCTCTTCTGAACAATGGGGGGACACTTCCTAATGACTTATTCATGTCTGTGAAGCTTTTAATATTTCCGGTGCTCATCACTTCAGTGGGGGACTGGCAAACACTCCCATTGCCTGTCATCCCACCCTCCACCCCAGCGACGCCTACAAAGAGCACTCTACCTCTCTGCCGTCGGAAGCTGAAGAGAGCAGCACAGCGGGTGGCCCTTGTTGGCATAATTTTATTGCGCGTAAGGGATAAACACCCACCCGCTGCAGTTGATTAATCACGGCACTCTCGCTTTCTCCACATGCTTAGCTGGCGCAAATGTTGTCGGGCCGCGCGGGATTAAATGCGAAACTGTTTGAAACCCTACTGCTAATCCCCCTACTCTAAAAGGAAATGCCCAAATGAGAGTGTTTACCTTTTGTCTTTTTCACGCAAATCACAAGATTACACTGAATTAATTGGGACCCCCTGTGCTGAGCGACTGTCCACAAAATGCAAATTGTTAGCGCTTCCACTTTCACAAACGCTAAACTACTAACTCATGGAGACAGCTTCACCACCCCCACCCCAGCCGCTTGCAGCATACTGCTTTTGGACAAGGCCCAGTTAAATGAACACTAATTACTCTCATCTGTTGCATTTTGTTTTCACAGCCGATACATGTACCATGGCCGAGTACAACAAGCTAAAGAACATGCTGCTGGACATGCAGCCCAAAGGCTTGATGAAGGCCGAAGATACGCTTGCAAATGCAATGGACCAGAAGAGGGCCCTGGTTGACACCATGTTCAAGTATTTGGATATGAATCATGATGGGCGCCTAAGCAGTGAAGAGCTAGCACAGGTAATGTTTTTCTTTGTTTTTTTAGCCTTGGAAGGGGATTTCACCAGAGGTATAAATCTCTGACCACACTTTGAATCAGTTATGTTTTTTGGAAACAAGTCATGAAATCTCAAATTTGACCAAGATTTAATTTGTGTTAATTGTTTTGGTGTGTAGTCAATAAAAACGGTAGGAAAAAATCAGTATAGTATATTTCAGACAAAACAGTAAATTTTTTTTGGTTTAGTGGACATAAGGAGTACATTATAATAGTTTTACATTTTGTTTGCAGTAATGATTTGCAGTCAAAATCTGGTTTACTGCTTAGCTTAGCTTAAAACTAATTGTGCCTACCACTGTCTAGAATTACGCAGAATCGTGTGTAGCTTGAAAGTGTACATTTTTCTCTATACAATGTAAAATTAAACGAGTCAAATAGAGGACATTTGGCCTTGCTCTCTCTGGGTGGGTTGGATGGACCCCGTTTCCCCCAACACTCAGCACGATGCTAGCCAGCGCAGACATCTGTTGCATTCTTTGGAGACTAGCATAAATGCTAATTATAGCATTAGCTTTCTAAATAGCCTGTGTAACCTTAGAGGGTTCTTTAAAAATAGTGTAAACTTCAGTAAATAGAATTTTGGAGGAATAATTTGCATCACTTATCACAAATCTTCAAATCTTGTAGTAGCTTTGTTTGGTTCAAGTACTTTATTCCCACTCTTAAAAAACAGTATACCAAGGTTGTTTTGAAAGGGGTGGTGGGTGGTATGTTTGAAAATAGCCTGAAACTTTAATTTAAAAATTTAATGAGTGCATACTTCATTGAATATTATTACAATAATTCTAATCAGTTCCAACTCACCAAAATCACCACTTTCAGACTACACTGTACTCAGACCTGTATTGCCCCTAGATTCATATTGCTCAAAGCTGTATCCATTGCTTTTCTGTAATGAGGTATAAGCATGGCAGCCTCATTTTTGAAACATGAAAAAGAAAGGCAGAGGAATCTAAAACATGTGCTTCGAAAAGAATCCTTATTTTTTTTTTATACATATTGCTTGCACATTTTAATATAAACCTGCAATGTTTTACTTAATTTTGCCTCCTGCTTACTGCCAATTGCATGGTGCACTGAACTCAGACCAAAAGTGATGTAATTGACTGTGCTTCAGTGGTCTCAAAGATAGATTACTTTTCATGATTAATGGCTTTTATTCATTAATTAGCAGACACCAGCAGAGGCGATATTCTGTAGTTTCTCTACCAGAGATAAATAAATATTTGATGCTGCTTTTTGGTCGTGTTTTTGTGATTGAATTTGGGTGCATACTCTTTTCTAGATCTCCATGAAGGAGCATTTGGAGGACAGCTTATTGGAGTGCACCATGCAAGACCTGATGCGATATGACGATTACAACAACGACGGCGTCCTCACCCTGCAGGAGTTCTACACGGCCTTTCGTGAGTTAGCCCACCTTAGCGTGCTACTGCAGTTTAGCACCATTAAACCTAGGCTGGATCAGACCAGATTATACATGATCAGAGCAGCGAGGGTTGTCAGGGGTCTGTAGAAGAGGAATAAAGGAGAGAGAGGGAGACGGAGAAAATAAGAGATCGAGGGAACGAATGTCTCAGAGTGTGAGTGAGAGATAAGAGAGAAGGTAAAGCGTTTGTGCATCACAAATTCAGTGGTGAATCTAGGACATTTTGACTGTTTTTTCACATTCAAAACAAAGAACTGACCCCAACGGGAACCAAAGGAACTTGCAGTTCTAGTTCTAGTTCATTTTCCACATGATTGAGAGACAGATGAAACCATCGTAACAATTAGTAGTGGGCTGAAGAGCAGGTTATCTATTATAGCGTATAAGTTCTATTATAGCATATAAGTTCTTTACAGTTTTGCCAGAAGCGTTATGCTACAAATAACATGATGTGCAAACAGTGAGAAACTGTTTATCCCCTTCAGCTGGCTAAGCCAGAGATATTTTAGTCACATATCAAATGAATGAAAACGCAGGAGTCTCTCACTGTTTATTTAATTGTATGCTTTGTTTTGAAGGCAATGGACATAAAATAATTGCCAGTCTTTTTGGGTTAGCCTTAGCTTAACATGGACACCATCATACAGCATCATACACTGCATCTTGTGCAGTCTCTTGGCCTTGTGTGCACTGAAAGCCATGGACTAGCTGGTACTGATAAGCTGAATGACTGTAATATTTTCAAAATTCCACCTGTGTCTGACAGTCGGAGGCTTACATTCAAGCTGGATGAGAAAAGGATTCACTAAGTTGTCACTGGCTTCAACTGCAAGTGTTACCAAACACAAAGGACATGACCCTCAAGTGCCATTAGTGGCTGTTGGTACCAATCCTGAGCAAAAACCATTCCTGCTAGACTGGTGGCCAATAGAAAAAGCACAGTTCCTGTTGTGTGGTACCAAAAGGTACCAGTACAATGTGCAGTGGAAAAAGATAGCACTACAAAAAATACTGCATATTAAGTGACAATGTCTGGTTAACAGCAGATAACAAGCAAAATTCAAAAAGCCGCTTTTCATTGTCCTGGTTTAAAGTCAAACTAATGTTAGCAAGCTAGTAGCTAGCTAGCCACTGTTACTTCCTACCATGCCTGGCTAAAGGTAGATGATGGCTGAGTGCTCAGTAGCATATGCAGGAATTCTACTACGACATTAGCTGTGTGCTGAAGTCCAGTGCCATTGGGTCGAGGCTGGCTCAGACCAGATTATCCTTGATCTGACTATGCAGCAATCCTGCTAGGCATCATTATCTGTCTGAACAGCTTGGTCTATTTCTGTGAGCACCTGGTTATTTGGACTAATAACATCTAATCATGGCTCCTGTGATGATATTTGAGCAGTTCTGGCTGACAAGTGTGGGTGGCATTGCAACCCAAGATTGCATTGTGCCACTTGTAAAACAAAGGTCCTTCTGCACTCGCTCGTAGCAGGGATCTCCAATTTTACATGCAGGACTTGCACTTTAAACAGAAACCCGCAGCTGAAATTACACATCCACAGAGCGAGGTGATAAATCAAGCCATTAATGCTAACATGTGACTCCTATTTTTGAGATTTAGCTAGTGGGGCAGAAAACACAGGTTCATTAAACATCACCAGTCGTTAACCATAGTAATGGTGGGTTTTTAGGAGGTTATTTGTTGCCATTATACAGATTTTTAGTTTCTGCTGCCAGATGGGTGATGGCAGCACCACTGGTGGCTCTCGCGCATGTGTCCACATTGTAGTGGTTTAACTAGGGAGTGAAGGACTGGGCAGGGACCAATAAAAAAAAATGACGCTGGTCAGGCGCTGCTCAAGGTTAACTGTTGTGATACAAGAGGAAAAAAGAGCTTGAACAGGGAGGTTTGGAGGATGTCGTGTGGAACAATGGTGAGTAAATCATCTCCCGAGAGTGGCTCATTGGCAAAAGTGGAAGGACCCAGGTGTTAGACACATGGGAAATGTCCCGAAGGAGAGCGTATTGTGTAGGTCATTTAAGCTCGATGGACACATTTAAAATCTGGAGCAGAGGGGGAAGCAGGTATTTCTCGTAGGAGGAGAATGATAGAGCTGTCAAGTATGAGTGCTTCTCTATGGATCATTATTTAGTGGAAGGGCAACTATAGTGGGTATCCTTCTTTTTCAGGCCCATTTTCTTTTAGCTTTTTCTTTTTCATTCTGTCTGTAAGTGTTCTTTGATGAAATGCTGTTACATAAATGTTCAGCTACATTATTTCAATTTTATCACCATTCCACATTGTACCCTACAATCACGGTAACAAAAAGTGATGGGCATGCCATCATCAGTGTAGAACATTGTAATTATAGCAGTTAAGATTCTTTCTGCCTCTGCATGTTTTACTGTCAAAATATAGTGATATGTATGTGTAATGTGGTGTCACAAAGAATTCACAGATTTTATTAGTATTATACGACTGGAAAAAGTCTGAATGTATCAGACAGAAAAGATAAAATGACCGTACATGTCTCCTGGTTGCTCAGGACCTCCTCCTTCTTTTGTAGATACAACTGACTCTCAGATCTGTCTTGTAGAAAAGAAATGACAGCTGAAATATCCTATTGCTACCTTGTTATTTCACATATGGTCAGGTCTCCTGCTTTGTGAGGGCGTACTGGTTCTTATCGCAGAGCCCTTCTAGAATTACCATCCAGACCACACATAGACATATCAGCAGTGGAGAGGAAATGGTGGGGCAGCCCTTTGAGGAATGAAGAGCTTATTGCAGATACAGATGGAGTACTCTTACAAATGTATAGCTCCTTGTATCATTGTGGGGGATACCCAGTAGGCCTGGGAGAGTTAGCTGGGTGCTGAGAAAGAAAGAGGCTGAGACAGAAAGAGAGAATGCAGTGCGCTGCGTGCCTAGTGCTTCACTCACCCTGAGTGTATTTGTTTGTCATGGCTCTTGTTGATGGCAGGGATAGACGGTCGCAGTGATTTGCCCAAGCAGCCACAGTCAGCAGGTCTGCCTAATTAATCAAGAGGCTGAGACAGAGAATGCCAGAGTAGCAAGGGCTGTCAGGGGTCTGGAGAAGAAAGGAATAAAGAAGAGGGAAGAGAGAGAGACTAAGAAATCAAGAGAGAGAGGGTTGACCATTTGTGAATCACAAAGCCACTCACAGATTGAGGATATTTTGTAGCTAGATTTAAAAAAAGATCATTTTGCTTGACCATGTCTCATTAACGGCAACAAACAAAAGGCAAAAAGTTGCTGTTGGTTATTTTGATTTAGAGTCTCTACAATGCTGTCAAGACTGTACCATGCTAGCCACTATTACTGCTATGCTGTCTACCAGCTTGCCTGCTGATGTTTAACTGCCCTAGATACGAGAAAGAGAAAGAGTCAACCCTAAAAAAAATCTTGTACACATTAAACTGTTCATACCTCTTAAAGAGCCACTTTAAGAGGCTAAAATAAAAAATATAGTAATTTCTAAATCTGTCTGAAACATTTCTATTAACCTCCTGCACAGATACCACAGTAGTCCTGGGATTTTCTGATTTAAAGACTAGGAAAAGCCCTTTCAGATGTTGTGTCTTGACGGTGGGAGGAACTTTTGAAAAACTACATATATGATGGCAGGCTTTTAGAAATGTTTTTTTTTTCTTTTTCCGCTAGCTAACTAGTGGAGAAGGAAGCCAGATAGCTGACGTTACTGCTAGGAAGTTGAATATCACTCCTGTATTTATTGGCTTCTACATTAGTGCCTTTCTTTATCACTGTGGAGGGGATTTCCTGTGGTTGTGTGATGCATTTGCACAATGCATGCTGGGTACTATAGTGAGAGAACACTGATAGATCCAAATTGTGCATTCTGTCAAAACTGCACTGTAGAATATTACTTGACATGACAAATAACATATGAAATGCTACACATAGACTGGAATGTCCTTTTAAAGCATAACTCCTCTGTTTTTTTTTTTTAATTCTGCATAATTGAGACGTAGACAATGTCAGTTTAAGTGGTGTGAAATGTTTAATTCCAGAGAAACTGATTTAGATTTTGTCATAATGGTGCTGATAGAAACCAGTGTTCCTATCCACACCTTTTCTGACTTTTCATATCCAATGTCAATGATGGTAAAATACTGTTTTCTTTTGGTCCTATGTTGCCTTACAATGCCCTGAATGTAACCTTACTTCATGAATAAATTTTTTAAAAACATGTTTTAGGCCAGAAATTTATCTCAGAACTGTGGGTAAAACAACGTTTCGGGGATTAGCCAGTTTATTCGTAACCACTTTATGTAATAACTTTCTTTGAGGCAGCTTTTACGGGCTTAAATGCCTCAGATGTCTAGTTCCTTTCACCACCATTATAAAGAAAATATGAGTGTGCAAGTTTCTCTAGAATGCAACATTTCACATTAGGCCACTCTGAATGACTTTGTGTACATTTAATATTTTGAATAATATGTGGAATTTCTCTGTAACGTTCCCATTCCTCCATCAATAGGTGACAATTCATTAAGGCTCATCTACCAACACGCAGCTTGGTTTTTTTAAACCATGGTCTTTGGCCTGTGTACAAATCGGAAAGATTAGACAGAGCAGGTGTACAGAGAGAGACAAATAATATGAGAAAGCGAAGGAGAGAGAGGTATGAATGCTGTTGGCTGGCAGAGTAGTCCTGTTGTGCATAAGGCCACTGAGGAGAGTGGTGGGTTGGAAGGAGGCAGAAACTGTAACCTGGCCACAGTTCTGAAGGTCAGCAGGGTTTGGTGCGCCCCGTTCACTTTCCCTGCATGATGGATCTCCTTCTCAGGCCCAAGGTGGTGGAGGTCCATGCTTATCACAGGGAGATCATGAGGGCCCTCCAGAGTGCAAATGACTACATTAGTTATGGCAGAGTCCATTAAACTCAGCTGAAGACAATGACTCTGCCTGTCGCTCGCCCTCATTAGAAGCTTTCT